GTGTAGGAATGACAAAGGGTGTAGAATAACATCCCTCTATATATATATATATATACATATATAAGTTCGGTTACAAACCTGTTTTCAGTTGTAAACGGGCTCACATATGAACATACATTTCATATGTAAATCACACGGGTTTACATATGAACCTGTTTGTTTGCAGCCTATTTATAAATGTTACGAAACTACCTCCTCTATTCACTACAACAAAATTGGGTTTATTGGACACCGCTAATCTCTAAACGTCCCAATAGACCGTTTTATAGGACCAAAATATAAAACGTTCTATCTAAAGGTGTTGTAATAAGTTTATATGACACTTTTGGGCGTCTTAACAAGTTTTTTATGACATTTTTAATACAAAGTGTCGCATTAGCAACTTTATAGTACACTTTTGAGAAAGTGTCCTATAAACTCAATTTGTTATAGGATAGTTTTTCAAATAGTGTCCTATAAAGTTGACAATGAGACGCTTTATATTAAAAGTGTTCTAAAAAAACTTATTACGACGTTAAAAAACGTCACATAAACTTATTACAATACCTAGGTAGGATACTTTATTTTTTTGGTCCTATAAAGAGGTCTATTAGGACACTTTAGGAGTGTCCTATAAACCCAATCTTGTTGTAATGATTTTTCGTATAGCCGCAAATTTTGACCAGTCAAATCTGATCTTGATTGTATGAAGGGCTAAGATCAAATTTTACTTCTCGGATATTTACCACTTCTCAAAATAACCTATGACTACTATTATAATTTGTAAACACATTATGAATCTACGGGATATTGTAAACACCAACTAAACGAGTAAAACTAAACATATCACTTGATTGTGAACAACACAATGAATTGTTGCTTAAGGTTATTTATATTTGTGTTGACCTTGTGTGTATGTATGCTTGTATGTTACAAAGAGAAGAGAGAAGAGAAAGAAAAATAAGAGAGATATGAATTTATCTAATAAATAATATTAATTATTTCAAATTAATGGTTGAGGCTGAATTTTAAAATCTTACAAATTTTTAGACTTTCAAATAAATAAACCCCTAATTATTTATAATAAATAATTAATAAATAAAAGTATATAATGATTTCTAAATGAAAAAGTGAGGATAAGGTTGTAATAACCTTGCTATAGAGTTTTATTAGAGTTTTGTTTTATTGATATGATGTTAAATATCATGAGAAAAAATCACACAGAATTGAATAATGAGGATTTCTTAAAAGCATTGATTATATTTAATATATATATATATATATATATATATATATATAAAACAAGAATAAAAAGTCAATATTTCTAAAAAAATAACTATTTAGATGATTCTAATATTAATTAATAATTAAAATATTTAAAAAAATGGGAGAGAGTATGTAAGAATCATTAAAAATAAATTACCCTCTCATAACATTAAATTTGAAACATTATATATTCTTCCTTCTATTTCTTCTATTTTATAAAATCTATTAATGCAAAAAATTACCTTTTTTATACTTAAAAAAATGTATATACATATATATATATATATATATATATATATTATTGTGTGTTATAACCAACTTATATATACTAATCCAATCACCTTTATAGGATCCTAGTAAAACAATAAAAAAATTCCAATTGATTTTAAAGAAACTCAAACCGTTAATTGACTTTTAAGTAAGTCCTACAAAACTCGACTCTTATTACCAATGAATTAACCCCTTAAAATTATACGTACTAATATTTTTAACAGGTCAAACCTTACCGTTAATTTAATATATATATATATATATATATACCCTCTCTTTCTCCTTATATATATAAACATTTTATTGTAAATATAATTTAATATAAGCGTTTGACAAAAGATTACAATCTGTAACCATTAAAATATCATTGAATACGTATTTTATTGCAAGAAACTTTGAAAAATAATATGCATTAAAATTCTCTAATAATAATTTATAAATTATCTTCAATAGACCGATAATAACAACATCAAGTTTTCTGATTGTTTTTGTATGTCCATATCAACTACACAATTTCTTCTTAAATGTATATGCTTATTTTGCAATTAAATGTAAAGTACAAAATGGTTGAATGCGTTTGTTTTAGAAAATTCTACTCTTAAAATTTTAGTCAAAACTACAAGAAAAATGCAAATTTGAAATGAAATGCAAATTTGAAATGAAACTATAATGATTGTACGGAACAAACAATGGTTGAAATATATAATTAGCTCGATTATTTTGTTGATGAAGTGTAGAAGAAAACAATACCTGAATAGTATGATTTTTCAGAGCTGGGTGATTGAACGCTGGCTGCTTGTAGATGTCAATGCAATCGATTATATCTCCATCTTTAACCTATATAAACAGTTCTAATAAGTGGTCAGCATATTACAAAATATTGAAATAAACCCAACAGTTATAATCAGCTAAAAACAATGCCTAAATAAAATTTTCTTAATAATGTATAACAATTCTTTTTACAATCCCAATATACGTTGCGTGTATGCTCAGTAACGTATAAATGTAACCTGACAATTAGATACGAATTAAAGAAAACCCAACACATGAATACAATAGAGAAGTGAAAGAGTACAGAATTCGAACCCGAATAGTTTTTGCTACGTGACGTTTGGAGTAGCTTTTTATCTGTGGTGCTACAAGACGTTTGGAAGTGCTTGTTGTTTGTGATGTGACAATGGATAATGCAAACAATGGCAAAAGGATTATGAGTTTGAATGCCATGTTATGAATGAATATGAATGAATAGAAAAATGACACTATTTATATGCAAACTGAACCATATTTTAAAATGCTCTTTTACATTGGTGTTTTTATGCATAGGATTTTGTGTGGGACAGTTTGAGATTGTCAGTAATCAACTTTTTACCTAAATTTCTAATATACTGACGAGATTACTTAAATAAGAATATGTATAAATATATTTTAATAAATATGACTAATCTCTTAAGGGATTTTAATTTCGTTTTATCTGTACTGACGAGATTACTTAAATAAGAATATGTATAAATATATTTTAATAAATATGACTAATCTCTTAAGGGATTTTAATTTCGTTTTATCTGTCTAATTATTTTAAACTTAAACCGTGTATTATAAGTATAAATTAACTTATTTTTTAATTTATTAAAACACTAAACAAAATAG